GTAGTTATACCTCAAGTCTCCTCTGGTAGCTGAAAGCCGAGCAAGTCTATGGTACACTGCTGGGACCAACTCCGAAATTTGTATAAGAAGTGCAGAGTGTAGTATCAGTACAATCGACCCCATGTACTGGTAAAGTGCTGAGCCTAACCTCGATGAAGTAGTGACGAGGCTAAGGCGGGTCACTTACATTAACCTGTACGCAATATTAGTAACAACAACAATAATAGAAATAAATCAGGTAACTCATTTATAATAATTGAAGCCAACTTAACAGTCATAACCCATTATTATTTCAACCAATTTCCGTTGCAGCGTGCAACCGTTCCCACGATATATTCATTTTCAATCCTCTCATATATTTATTTTAATCACGTATATATAGACTTTTAAATAAGTCTGTTGCGGCATGCAATCCGATCCCCCAATATTGAATTTTAAATAAGTCTATTGCGGCATGCAACCCGATCCCCCAATGTGGACTTTTTTAATAAGTCTATTGCGGCGCGCAATCCGATCCCCCAATATGGACTTTTTAATAAGTCTGTTGCGGCATGCAATCCGATCCCCCANAGCAATTATCAATTAATTATGAAAATGGTGGAGAAATTTCTTCATGAGGCGACTGAAGGGTTGGCACCTCCCAGCTAGGTTTGAGATGAATCTCCTAAAGTATGCTAGTTTTCCTTTCAAACTTTTTAATTCATGGAATATCGCGAGGCTCAGGCATTTTCAAAATAGCATCCACTTTGGCTTGATCAATTTCGATCCCTCGATGTTAGACAATGAAGCCAAGGAACTTTCCAGAAGTAACTCCAAAGGCACATTTCAATGGATTCATCATAATTTGGTACCTCTGGAGCAATTCAAACACCATTCGCAAGTCTTTCAAGTGGTTGCTCTTCTCTCTTGATTTTACCACCAAGTCGTCAACATAGCATTCGACATTCTTGTGGAGAAGATTATCAAAAATATTCTGCATAGCCTTTTGGTAAGTAGCACCAGCGCTCTTCAAGCCAAAACGCATTACCTTGTAGCAATAAATACCCTTGGGGGTACCGAATGCACTAAGATCTTTATGTTTTGGCGCCATGCGAATTTAGTTATAACCTAATGAACCGCCCATAAATGACATTGCCTCGTACCCAGTAGTAGCGTCGATCATTAGCTCTGGAATAGGAAACAGGAATTCATTCCTAAAATATCTTTTATGATTCCTTTCCGTTCATATGGGAGAAATTAATAACTGCTAGCGTATATACAATCAGACCTTTCTATAATAGCATCCCTATATAATATCCATTCACTATAAAAGTCAAGTTTTCCTCCGAACCGATTTTTTAAGTTATATTTAACCTCTATATAACAACATCCATATATAATATTCATTCACTATAAAAGTCAAGTTTTCCTCTGAACCAATTTTTTAAATTATATTTAACCTCTCTATAACAACTTTTTACCTATAATAGCCACATCCATATTTATAACAGAATGCTCTTTGTAAAATAACCCTCTATAACATTCATACAGAATTTTTAAGATTACTACTAAGAATTCTAAAAATATGTACACAATCTTTTCCATTAAATAAATTTTCTATCTTGCATAATATATAAGATTTAAAGATTTGCATATGATATCTTTTCCACTGGACAAAATTCAAAAAATATTTAGATAGAAACTATATAGATTGTCTTCAAGGGAAAGCTAATGGGTACCTTTATGCTGAAAATTTGGACACGAACCTTCGCCAATTCAAGCGTTATATTAGTAAGAGAATGAAATCTACGAAACAAGCTACAATTACAAAGTTTTTCCATCAATTTTGAAAGAAAGTATTTTCTAGGTAGCTTTAAAATGTCAGCCTTAGAGTTTAAATATGTATAGGTTTAGTTATGAATTTATTAATAATTTATTAGCTTTCTTCAATATTTAATATTTAACTAGTGAAATATGCATATCTTTTGAGATTTTAAATTTGAATAGTTTTCTTATCTTTTATATGCAACATTAAAAAAAAAAGAAAAATTTATTTTTTGATTATTTTTATCTATAATAGTCAAAAATTATTTAAACGTCAAATGTTATTATAGGTGTATAACAATCATTCACTATAAAAGTCAAAAAATATCGAAATAAATGAGCCTGTTATAGAGAGGGTTAGAGTGTATATGTTATTACTTTTTGAACGGCCGCCACGATCCTAAAAGCCTCAACTCAGAAAAAAGGACAAAAGAAAAAGATAATAAGAAGTAAACATCGTTTTGACCGATGACCGTATGTTTAATGGAACTAAGTCGCAAGTTCTTTCCAAAAAAAAAAATTAAAAAAAAAATTTCCTGCCTTGTCACCTTGTGTACGAAGTGCAATACAGTCCGATTAATAATTTATCCGTTCCAATTTGTTTGATGCAGTTTGAATTTTGAGAATTAAACTTTTAAATTTTGACGGTAAATTTTAACGTAGAATCTTTGAGTTTGTTGAAATAAATTGTACATATTTAAAAACTACATAGAAAAAATTATAAGTCACAAACTCAAAATATTTTAAAGGTATATAAAAAAATTGCGATCAAAGAAAAATTTATTTGTCGGAACAAATTAGGACAGTAGGAGCACTCTTTATTTGTTTTTTGTTTTTTTTTGGTGTAAAGAAAAATTCTTTTATTTGTTTCTCTTCGTACTTGCCATGGATAGAGATCTAATGCATGCCTGAGACCATCGTTAGGGATCATTACACAAATACCAGGCCTACACATTTATATTTTTTTAGTTGATATACATATATTATATACTAATCTTATATTGTTATATACAAATTATATATGAAATATACAATATACATCCACGGTTAATTCGTTATTCTATCGTAGAATGGTACTCCCTCCGTCCTTCTTTTGTTGTCAAGGTACTAAAATTTGGCCCAAAGTACTTGTTAGGTTAGAGAATCAAGATAGAATTAATTATTTTTTTCACTTTGCCCTTAATATAAATTGTTACTAAAAGTAAATAATATCAATTGTTCCGGTAGCAGTTTTTTGTGAACTTTGTACATATTGATTACTTGGTTAATAAAATTCTTTACCTACCCAAAAAAATAGAGTAAACAATTATTGAAGAGAGATAAACCGGTAAACTAGTCAAAAAGCATTTCTTATATATATGATTTCAGGCATGCAAATAAAAAACATGACAATTAAAAGGAGACGGAAGGAGTAGAAGCCAGGAGCGATCTTTTTACAATGGCTCCCATGGTTTATTTTTATTTTATATTGCCAATACAATTAGTAAAAATGGTACTATTTCGAACCATAGTTTGGCCACACAAACAAGTAAGATATATAGAAATAGAGCAGTGACAACTCTTTTGGTCCCAACTTAATTATTGCAGATCATTATAAAGGATAGAGATATTAATAGCGCATGGAAGTCAAACTGACTTGGTTGATGGAGAAGTCGTCAACCAACGAATTTTGTCTAAGGAAGAAAGCAACTAGTAACAGTACTGGTAGTTGATTTTTTATGGAATAAAGCTTTAAGTTTGTGATCGTCTTGAAAGGTAAAAGCGGCCGGCAATTTTAGTCATTAAAAATAATAAACAGACTCCACAATAGACTTGTTCCACTAGCACAGAATTATAACTCTTCATTTCATGTACCTTAATTTTCGGCTGGTCAAAATTGACACATAAATACTGGCTAGGTCTTTCACTCTTCTTGTCAAACATCGCCATTCAAATTTAATATCCATCCTATGACTTGGTTGCAATTATGATAAACTTCGTGGGTTAATTAAATATTTATGTATTATGATTGCTTCTAGAGTTTAATCATGAGAAGAAAACTAATACAAACTTTTTTTTGGTCAAACCATCCACCAATACTTTCACCTTTCGTGGCGGTGGGGGTTTGGAATTAGCCTAAGAAAACTAACACAAACTGAATTGTAATTTATACTTCTTAAATTGTTGCTTCAAATCGAGTGTTTCCATATTCCAAATTGAGTTTTTTTTTTGGTTCTTTACTTTTTTTCTTTGTGGGAAATCATTATGCATTGTTTTATTTAAATTTTTTCATACAAAATACCAAAAATTATATAGTATGCAGGTGAACCTTAATTCATATGTATTCCAAGGAAATGATGATGAAAATTCAGAAGCATTTCAATTTCTAACTTCTAGAGTTTATATGATAAATCATCCTTTTCCGAAGCATAAGTAGTCCACGAGGACATTGAAAATCAATATTTGTTTCACGTTCTTATCACCATAATTAGTTAGGTTATTGTGTTTTAAGTTTGGTGGCTCTTAGTACTCTATATTGTTATCTCAAGCTAGCAGGAATAGATATTCATATATAACAGAATGATACACTTAAATATAAGTTTGAATTTTATATACTGAGAGTACCAAATTTTAACAATGAAATCATATAATATATAATTACATCTAATTCTCTATATTTACTAGCTATTATTTTTTCATAAAGAAGTATTAATTAATAACCTTAAAAAATAGATAAATATTTAACGTCTTGCAAATTTTGTCATGAATTAGTTGAGGTCTTGAGGAGTATAAAACTTTTCTAGCTAGGTGAAGAAATCGATAGACTAAGGTTATATGACGACTATTAGTAGTAAGGTACTAAAGTTGCTGGGTCGTATGCACTTTGCTTTCTCCAAATTAGGAATTCAATGTCACGTGGCAGTCAGCAAAATACTGAACTAAAGACAATTGGGGGTGGGTTTAAATTTACTGGGACCAGAAAGAATGAATTTATTCAAGCCTACTAAGTCGTAAATGGTGATGATAATAATGATCACAAGCGCAAATAACAGACTAAAGACTTATTCCATTTCAGTGATATTATTTGGTCCCTAGAACAATGAAGTCAATACGAATGACTTGACTACGATTACCATCATAGCTATAAGTCTAGTCGAGCCTCCTGATTAGTGTCACCTTTTTACTATATAAATACAGTCTATACCTAATACCATTGAGTAACCCCTATATCTCTCTAAGCTAACTCATCCCCAAGAAGAAGAAAAAGAACTGAAGATTATTTTTAAAATTAAAAAAAAACTATATATGGAAGTGGAAAACTTGAGTTGCGTAGTTACAATTAGTAGTTACAAAGAAGAAGAGGCAGATGAGGAGGATGTTATGCTTCCAGGGTTCAGATTCCATCCAACAGATGAAGAACTTGTAGGGTTTTATCTTCGGAGGAAAGTTGAGAAAAGGCCCGTCACTATTGAACTCATCAAACAGATTGACATCTACAAATATGACCCTTGGGATCTTCCCAGTATGTATCTACTCAAATCTCTCTACTAAATATCATATGTATTACTTTCATATTCTTATACTTTAGCCATGACTCCTTTTTCTTGAGACATATATTAGCTTAATTGCTAGCCAAACATGTGATTCAGATCTAGTTGTCCTTTTTATGTTTCCACATAATTTTATATATATATATAGTACTCTTAAACCTTTGTTATTCCTACAGAAGTTCAAGACTAATATTATTTGGAAACCCTTAAGATACAATAGGGAAAAATTGAAACAAAAGAAGAAGTTAGCTAGAGATTTGTGGTTTCCCCACTGCTTCTGATGTATTTTTAATTTGGTGAACGTGCAGAGTCTAGCAACATGGGAGACAAGGAATGGTACTTCTTTTGCAAAAGAGGCAGAAAATATAGAAATAGTATTAGACCAAACAGAGTGACTAGTTCCGGATTCTGGAAGGCTACTGGTATTGACAGACCTATTTATTCTAGTGTTGGACAAGGCCGTCGTCATGAATGTATTGGGCTGAAGAAGTCGTTGGTTTACTACCGTGGGAGTGCAGGAAAAGGCACCAAAACTGATTGGATGATGCACGAGTTTCGACTTCCTGCCGAAAATGATAAATCCACAAAACATATTGAAGCTAAAAGCATTGCTCAAGAAGCTGTAAGCAAATCTATATACTAGTGATTACTCTCTTTCTTTTATCCCATTGAGGAATTTACTAGCTACTAGCTAGTTATCTTTGTTGAAGTATCAGAGAAGCATCTTTTTATATAGTTATGTCTCAACACATCCCCTTAAGTGTGGGCGATGAGATTGAATCAGAACCTTTCTCATTTAAAAGTTTAAGCAGTTTGAAAGAACACAACTTTTAACTGCTCTCGATCAACAGTCTACGTTCAAGCAATTGTTCTAAGTAAATTTTTGGTTTCTTGGCGTTTGCAGGAAGTTTGGACACTCTGCAGAATCTTTAAGCGAAATGGGTCATATAGGAAGTGCCTTCCGGAATGGAGATCTGTAGCAGCAGCAAAGCGACACCCAACTGATACAAGTTCAAAAACATGCAGCGCTGATTCTTCAGATTATATAATTAGCTTTGGTGCTCCCGTTATGAGGCCGCACAATAATATCACTGAGATCAAACCCTTTAGCGGTCATGTTCATGACATATCAAATAATAGCCAGCTGCTTATGGGTCAATTAAGTTCAGTGCGTCAAGCACCTTCCGTATCCCACTCGAGCTATGGTCACACTTTAGCTCCGGACATGAATGAGTTGCTGTTAAAGCATGGAGATTGGGATGAACTTACATCTTTTTTAGATCTTGCCGTTGATCCGTTGTTCTGACTTTGTAAAGTAACATACATATTTAACGGCATTTCCTATACTGAAATAACAGAAAACTTCAGCAAAATTTCTTTATCTTATGTGCATATTGTTAGAACTTTCCTTATACTTGTGTGGCCCAATAGAGTTATATACGCCCATAATTAATATTTAATCAAACAGCATATCTCGTCCGTTCAACTGTTTAGGACGTACCAAATTAAATCTTATTTTTTATAAATTGGCCCTCCCTCCACTCATTAAGATTGCCACCACATATTCTCTACACAACTTTATCACTAACAACTGTGGTAACGTAAGGCTAGGTCAAGGAGGTTGAAACCGATTCGCCGATTAACGCTTTCGCTTTGCGATAATTGCTTCCGCATCAGATATATTTTCCTATAAAATCATCTCTATAAGATTGTCATATTCAAGATTTTGATGCGCGTGAAATTTATATTTATATTTGGTAGCAGAGCATGTCATTTGAATTCATAATCTTCGTGAAAGAATATAATGTTAACCACCATATATGTATAACGTGCGTTTATGTATATGATTTCTGTATATATTTTCGGACTTCATGATCTTTATGCAATTAATTGAATACTGTTAAGATAATTTTGATGGGAAAAAAATGCATATACATGTTGCTAGCAATTTGGGTCATGATGTCTACTCTTAAATTGTTGAACAAAATAAAAGATGTTTCCATGTGAATCCATAAAGATGCCGATTTGCAAAAAGTTACGATCCGTTTGATATATATATATNTTAATTCCATAAAACAACTATAATGTATAATGTAGGATATAACTATAATATTGGACAGAAACTTTTTTCTATTGGGAGTCAATTCCTTCCCTTAAACAGCGAGTAATTAAAACTTCAAATAATTAGTAAATGAGTCAGCATCAAACTGTGATAAAACAAACTACTGTTGTCATTAAAACTTCAAAGTAATTAGTAAAGAGTCAACATCAAACGTTACTGTTGCATTATATATATACCTTATCACACCAAAAGTATTTATTGGCTAGGTTCACCAAATTACTCTTTTTTTTAGAAAATAAAAATAAGTTCAATTAAATTCGCTTTTGCGAAAAGTACTATATATTATTATCCTTATATAGTATATTAGTAGTGAATTTCTTTGTTAGGGTCTATTCGAACAATTAGTTTGACATTATTGTAACGACCCGGCCGGTCGTTGTAAATATTATAACCTCGTTCCCCCATTTACTGCTCAAATTATGTCTTGCCATTGATTTATGACTTGTGTGCAAAATTTGAGGTCAATCGGACTTGATTCGATAGGTTTCGACATCGAATGTGGAAGTTGAAAATTTCATAAGACTAAAGTTTCAAGTGAGTTCGCACAAGACCCAACTTTGAACGAGAATATCTATATATATATATATATATATATATATATATATATATATATATATATATATATATGAAGTTATGTGATAATCTACCTATCAAATGAAAGATATTCGAGTCTAGTTTCTAATGCTTAAAACCGTTTGTCATTCGGACATTCCTACAAAACGTTATGATCAAATACCCAAAGGCTGTCATGTAGCTCGCTACAGAGCTCGCAAGACCAGGCTTTAGCCTGGCGAGGCCTCGCCAGGCCTAAAGCCAGGTTTAACCAAGCTTTAGCTTGGCGAGGCCGGGCCTATCGCCTGGTCCGGAATTTTTGGAGTATCCATTCTTTTATTGTTATAACCCGACCCAACTTCGATAAATAAGCCTTGAAGCTCATTTTGGAGCAAAAATATGATATTTTTAGAGAGAAGGGAGAGTGTTCTAGAGAGAGGAAGAAGCTCAAGTATTTTTTTTCATCAAGATCTTGTTCAAGCTTTGAAATCCAACAAGGAAATATCACAAGATCTTCACTCAAGAGGTAAGGTTCTAACCCCTAGTCTTCAATTTCGAGTTTGGGTAAAAATGGGTGATTAAGAGTATGATTCTTGGGTGTAATAGTATCATTTATATATATCAATAAGGTTTATGAAAAGATTGTTGAGTTCAAATGGGTATAGATTGGGTTGAAAATGGTAGAAATCTTCAAGACTTTAATTGAAGATTTGAGGGTCGAGTTGATGTCGGAATTTGATGAATTTTATATGGTTAGACTCGGGAGAGGACGAGGATTATTATTCTGCCATTTTTGACTGGTTTCGAGACGTGGGCTCGGGGCCCGGATTTTGACCGATTTCGGATTTTTGGCCTATTTATGTAGTTTTTCCGTTGGAATTCGATTCTTTAGCCTATGTTGATAGTATTATTCTGATTATGGATAGATTCAGAGCTTTTGGTGACCGAGTCCAGAGACGAGGGTATCCCGGAGTAGGATTTTTACGTTATTAAGGTAAGTAACAGTTTTAAATCTGGTCCTGAGGGTATGAAACCCAGGATTTTGGTATCATATGATTATTTTGGAGGTGACGCACATGCTAGGTGACGGGCGTGTGGGCGTACACCAAGGGGATTGTGACTTGGTCCGTCCCGAGAAACTGTAAAGTTGAATAATTTATTGTTAGCCTTATGCTCTCTATGTGTTGATAAAATTTGACTGTAAATCATGCTTAGGTTATGTGTTAGTACTGTTGGGACCCACAGAGGTCGCGTACTTGTTGAATTGCCTGCTAAATGCTATATGTACTCAGTCTCAGTTTTTACTTGTATATTTTATCTCAATCTCTGTTATTGTTATTAATACATCATATCATTGTTGTTTGGGCTGATTTCATGATTATTGAGAGCCCGAGAGACTGGAGAGATTTATGACTGAGTGAGGCCGAGAGCCTGATTGTGAGAATATTTTTGGGATCGGGCTGCACGCCGCAGCAGGCCATGTTGGCTTTATATATATATATTATATTATTGCACGTGAGTTGGCCGTGCAGATCCAGATATTGTTATAGCACGTAAGTTGGCCGTGTGGATCCAGATATTATTATTGCACGTGAGTTGGCCGTGCGGATCCTTATATTATTATTGCACGTGAGTTGGCCATGGAACATGTAAGTTGGCCGTGCGGATCCAGATATTTATATTATGGCACGTGAGTTGTCCGTGCAATACGTGAGTTATCCGTGCTTATAGCGCTCGGGCTGTAGGAGCCCCTCATGAGTCTGTACACCCCCCAGTGAGCGCGGGTACCCATTGAGTAAGGGCTGGAAGCCTAGGGAGTGATGAGGACTGGGAGCCCAGTGAGTGATTGTTGTTCTAAGAGGTTGTACTTAAATTCTATTTGTTGTTGCATTTAGTTGTTATCTGTCATTATTGTGAAATCTCTAAAAGATTGTTGATATACGGATTACATGAACAGGAACTATATAAAAATTGATTTGACATTAAACTGCCAGATTTGATAGCATGTCTATTCTTTGCTGGGATGACTGGCAATGAACCATAACTGTGTAGCTCGTTACTATCTTCAGTTCCTTATTTATTATTGTTACTTGCTGAGTTGGTTGTACTCATACTACACCTTGCATTTCGTGTGCAGATCCAGGTGTTCCCGGATATAGCGGGTGTTTGATCCTTTCGCCCGGTTCATTTTCAGGAGATTTTGAGGTAGCTGCCGAGTTTCGCAGACCTTGTATCTCCTTGTCTATCTCTTTGTTCACTATATTTGGTCTCAGACTATTATAGACTATATTTTCCAGACTTGTATTCCTATTAGATTCTCATATACTCAGTGACATCAAGTTTTGGGGAGTGTTTGTATTGTATTTAAATATTATATTTTCAATCTTGAGAGAAATTGTGGTTTATTGAGATTTTCGGCTTGCCTAGTATTGAGATAGGCGCCATCACGAAGGGTGAGATTTTGGGTCGTGACAAGTTGGTATCAGAGCCTAGGTTACATAGGTCTCACGAGTCATGAGCAGGTTTAGTAGAGTCTTGCGGATCGGTACGGAGACGTTTGTACTTATCTTCGAGAGGCTGCAGAGCCCTTAGGAAAATTCCTCTTTCTTGTATTCTGTCGTGCGAATTTGTTGATTCAGGAAACTAAATTTTTGTTATTCTATTCTCTCACAGATGGTGAGGACACGTACTACCGGATCGGACGGTCAGCCACCAGTGCCACCAGTTAGGGCCGTGAGAGGCTGGGGCTGGGGCTGAGGTAGAGGTCGAGGTGTAGCTCGTACCACAGTTGGAACAACACCTGTAGTACCACCAGTTATTCCAGCTCAGGAGCAGATTCCAGATATAGTTGAGCCGACAGGATCAGCTCGGGCATCAGCTGTGCCCATTGAGATTACAGGCATTCAGGAGACTTTGGCCCAGATATTGGCAGCCTGCACAGGTCTTTCTCAGGTGGTTTTGGCTCAGGCCGCACCTGCCATTTCTCAGGCCGGGGGAGGTACTCATACCTCCATTGCCCGTACTTCAGACCAGGTAGTACAGGGACTTCAGATACCGGGGGCACTACCAGCCCAACCGGTTACAGCTGCTCAGGCCCCAGTAGTTCCTGTTATGGCAGATGATGAGCAGAGGAGACTTGAGAGAT